TATTTGTTATCCATTGTTTCCACTACTACTAGTACTTCTAGAAGTAGTAGTAGTAGTTGTAGCACTACTACTACTATATTTCAAACGTCTTTTCGTTTAATTAATGGAAACAATTATTTTTAAAGAAAGAGGCCACCACCACCATCAACAACAACAACAAGAAGAAGAAGAAAGCAAAAAAAATTGAAACGAAATTCTTTTCTCTTTTTCGTTTCATTGCAAACTTCTACTTTTTCTTTCTTTCTTTTTTTTTCTTTTTTTCCAAGTGTGGAAATTGTCTCTTTTCTTCTTCTTCTTTTTCTTTTCTTTCTCTAAATAGATCATTCATATATTCTGTAGTTTCTTGTTCAATACAATAAACAAATGAAAAGAATATTGTTTAGTTTTGATCTAGAAATGTGTAACCCTTTTGTGTCATTGAATAAAAAAAGAGAATTTAGTGAAGAAGAAGAAAAAATTTTTTTTTCTTTTCGACGGAATCATTTAATTAAGCTGTACATTCGTAGTTATAGTTATTATTATGGAAAACAAATGTCTGTAGAAGAATAGAAAATTGATTTGAGACCTTTATTATTAAATGAAGTTACATAATAAATAAAGGGTAAGAGAAGAATATAAAGCTGGATCATGAAAGATAATTGTCTAATCGATGATTAATTTTAATAGCTAGGATCATAGGTGAATTGAAGCTGGACCAACCTGAGGGCACTGGGTGGCCGTTTCGTCCTAGCACGAGGCTCCTCAGCAATGCGCATCCATGATCCTACCCACACGCGAGATTTAAATCCAGGACCTATCACTCTCGCGTGTGAACGCTTAAACTCTAGACCACTGAGCTGGTCGGCAACCAACGGTATTAATGTCTAACTTCAACTAATCCACGAAATTAAGCAACACATCTACCATTGTCTTCAGTGAGTTACTACCTCAAAATAGATCCGGTTGAACTCCACTGTTCACGGCTAATCATAAGCAAATACCTCTTGAAGACCATCAATTTTACTCATGATCTCAACTATTAAAATTATTATAATATCCACAAAATCCCCTTTGATATTAATTGATTATTGCATAACCTCATCCTGGTAAAGTAAATTCCATTTATTTCATGTTATTACTTTTAGTCGGATTACTATGGTTGATCTAAATTTATTTCGGGAAAGGAATTCACTGTAAACTATCTATTTAGTTGTTATGTGAGAAAATCTTTATTATAATATTCATTTAATTCGAGTAGTGATCGTTGACGACAATTTTCATTCAAGATAAACGACATTGTTTATCTGTTCTACTAGAACTGTAGTATAAATGTTAAATTTAACATTATAGCTAAGTAGAAATTACTGAATGAAACAGTGAAGCTCAATTTAAATGGATGCTCACTGCTGAGGAGTCCCACAATAGGACGAAACGGCCGTCCAGTGCTTCCAGGTTTTCCATGGTGGTCTAGCTTCAACTGACTCATGATCATAACCATTGAAATTACTACAATCTCCACAAAAACCCATCGGAAATATATACGTCTATAGAACAATAAATTAATTCATGACTCTTATTATCATCTTTATATTCCTTCTTTACCTCTTGATTACTACGTAACTTCATCGAATAATAAAGGTCTCAAATCAATTAATGATGTAATCTTTTCTATCCTTCTATAGACATTTGTTTTCCACAGTAACTATAATTACGAAGGTACTACTTAATTAAGTAATTTCGTCAAAATGAAATAATTTTCTTCGCAGAAATGTTTATGAGTAAATGAAAAAAGTAGGACTTTTGGATATTCAATAATGAAAATTCATTTAAAATTCATAATCTGTTCATAAGTAACTCATTTATTTCTTTATTTATATCACAAGGGCGATTTCGTGAATAATTTTTTAAATAGTTAAGATCATGAGTCAATTGAAGTTAGACTACTATGGAAAACCTGGAAGCACTGAACGGCCGTTTCGTCCTTTTGTGTGATTCCTCAGCAATGCGCATGACGGTCTAGCTTCACTTGACTCATAATCTCAACTATTAAAATTTTCCTTTATTTCTTTGTTTGTTTGTATTTATTGGTTGTGTTTCTATGAGTAGATTAAATTAAAGTGTAAACAAAGATGGATGGTAGCTAGCAGTGCAAATCAGAAAGTGAGTTTTGTCTTATTTGGAACATATCAGTTGGATGTATCTGCTAATAAAAGGCTGATCAACTGCAGCTCCTAAACAACAATCAGAAGATTCAAACAAACAGTATAAAAATAAATTGAAGTGTATTCATTGTTAATAGATAATAAATTACAATCTGACAAAATATGTCACATAAATTATGATTGAATTCATGAGTCAGTTGAAGCTAGACCACCATGGAAAACCCGAAAGTACTGGATGGTCATTTTCCAAGGTTTTCAACGACGGTGAAGCTCCAAATGACTCATGAATTCAACCATAAACCTACTAAAATCTCCACAAACCCCCTTTTGATAATATAAATCATGGTCAAAATGTGTTGTTGTTGTTGTTGTTTTTACTATGGATTGCTATACACTAAACAATTCCTAAATCTTTCTTCATCACTATATAATATTCCGAGTTCTTTTTCATTTGAATCAGAGTAATAGTATAAATTTATTATATTCCATAAAGAATCTATATTAGTTATTGACATCTTTTATGAACCAAACCAAAATAGAAGTGGAACCTTCTATTATTAACACTGATGATTATAAATACTCACAATCATAAAGGTTACCTATCCATAAGATTGTCTCTATGATTACAGACAAGGTTATTAAACAAATCATTTTTTTATTTTAAGAACCCACCTAAAATGAAGGATAGTGATATAACAGTGATCTAAACCAAAAACAAAACTTGATTACACTGGTTGAAATCATGAGTCAATTGAAGCTAGACCACCATGGGATACCTGCAAGCACTGGACGGGACTCCTCAGCAGTACGACGACCTCGACCCATGAGAGATCCGAACCCATGACCTACTGGTTTCGCGCGTGAGCACTTAACCACTAGACCACTGAGCTGGTCGGCATCCAACGGTGTTAATATCTAACTTCAACCAATCCACGAAGTTGCCCCACAGTACACCATTGTTGTCAGTGAGTTGATATCTCACAACCAACCTGGTTGAACTTGATTAGATAGATTACATAATAAATGTAGAAGATAAGTAATGAATAAAGTATGCGAGATTTTAACAAATCTAAAACAGTACATAGAAATATAGTCAATCGTTTCAAAGTAGACTCAAATAAATTTTCGGGCGAAGAGGGGGTACTTAAAAGTACCGGTTGTTATAACAGTGAAAAATTGTAATTTATTTCCATATAGTAGTAGATTTGAATGTTTTAATATTGTACTTAGTTCAACAAAACACTTAAATGAAACTACATTTGATCTATGTATAGTTGTAATTTAAAAACAATTGAAACATTTGAAAAAGGTCACTTCTATTGAATATTTTCAATGAATAACGTATTATAGGTTGAAGCAAAAGATAATCAGTATAGATCTGAGTGTGGACGATAACAATAGGATATAAGATCCCAAATAGGATGAATTCTGCATCATAGATTACAATGTTAGAATAAAGTCTGTTTATTAGTATGAGGTTGTACAGACTGTTGAGTTTAGATTGATATCATTAATGGATCAATGTTGAACCATCAGTGAAAACTTGGAAGCATTAAACGACCGTTATGTCTTAGAATGAGACCCCTCAACAGTGCGAATCCATGATCCCGCATCAAAAAACACTCGAACTCAGTATCTTCGATCTCACGTGCAAACATTTAATCTCTAGACCATTCAGCTTTAACTAATCCACAATACTGCACGACCATTTTTCATTGTCGTCGATGGGTAACTACCTCATACTCGTCACGTATTAATTGAGTACTGCCATACTAAGACAAAACAGCCGTCCAATACTTCCAGATTTTCAAAGATGACCTAACATTGATCGATTCATAATCATAAATAATCTGTTTAATTTAAAAATAGCATATCTTTTACATTATAACCATTTATTGAATTAAAATATACAATCATTTATTGTCTTTCAAATAGTTCAAACAAGAATTGTCTCTAATTTAAATAAAGTATACATTACTATTACTATTACTATTACTATTACTATTATTATTACTATTACTATTATTATAATTAAATTGAATATACTGCTATCCATCTGATTAGACCATTTGTTATCTATCAAAATTAGAAAGTATACATGGATATAGAACCAAAAATCAACTTCAGTGTAATATGATCCAGTTCAGTGTTTCATGTTTATTTTTCCTTCTACAGAAAAGTAAAAAAAAGACTTTACAATAAGAAATCATAACGAAAAGAAAAATGAATGTAGAAAGTGGCTAGCAATAGAATCCAGGACACGCGTTTCGTCCTATTTGGGACGACTTAAGAAGATTCAAGTAAAACAATACTGAGTGAATTAAACTTCATCGCATTGCACACGCAAGTGGCTATCAGGACTTAGTAGCTAAGTGGATAACGTGATGGCGCTTGAGACGAACGGTATTGGGTTCGAGTCCCAGGGTGGACATCAACTCAGATGCAAGTATATCCAGCTGATGAGTACCAAATAGAACGAAATGGTGCGTGTCCTAGATTACACTGCTAGCCACTATCCATATTTGCTTATAATGCTTGTAAATTAAGGCAATAGCGAAGCAATACACACAGGATGCACATATACCAATAAGGGGCTCATCAATTGAATCAATCTATATCAAAGTAATAATAATATCCATATTATGAGTTAAACTACAGTCGAAGTTTCTACAACAGTCAAAATAATCATCGACATGTTTAACTGAATCTTATTTATTCTTAATTTCAATAGTCAGTAAACTTTTTTTGAGATCATGAACCGATTGATGTCAGACCAATATTGAAAACCTGGGAGCACTGGAAGGCCGTTTTATTCTATTTTGGGACTCCTCAAATCGGTTGAATACGCCAGTGACTATCTGGACTCATTACCTCGGAGCATGAAGCCTTTGCATTTGAAGTGAATAGTACTAGGTTCGAGTCTTAGTATGGATAACAACATCAGGATTCATGTAAATAATGTGAAACTTGCATCTTTGATTCGATTGCCAGTCATACATCAAATATTACTGAAAAAATTCTTATAACTAAAGGTCATATGTAGAAGCAGTTCACTTTGAATGCATGTATTACAATCGAGACTGATTAATCCCAGTCCTCATCACAAAAACAGGAAATTTCAAACCATACTAAATCCATGTACAGATGCCGTAAGTAATACATTCAAAAATATCTATATTCATACAGAATAAGGGTAATATTTTCAGAGCTATTGTCTGATTACTACCATCGGAAACCTGGAAGTACTGAACGGCCATTTCGTCCTAGTAATGGGCTCCTCAGTAGCACGCGCCCACGATCCCACTCGCGTGATTCAAACCCAGGACTTGTTGGTTTTGCGCGCGAACACTTAACCTCTAGACCACTCAACTGGCGGGCATCCAACAGAGTTAATACCTAACTCCAACCAATTCAAGAAATTGAGCCACCTTACATTAGATGTTATTAAATGAAGGATAGTCAAAAATTACTTAACATGATAAAAATTTATGTATAATTAGTTATAATTATCCATCTACTTTACTCGAATTTTGTTATTAATGAAATAATATCCATATTTTTTAATCAAATGGAAGATTTGTTTAAGATTATCTATCGTCAAAGTTAACTATATTCCTTGATAACATTTGAAGATGTCTTCGAATTACCATCAATGGAATGTGGTAGAGAAGTTTAATTAATAGATTTAAACTTGATTATTCAATAGTGACATATAATTTCCATATAAACATTAAGAACATGAAGTTCAGCAGAGGCATCAATAGTGTTCTCATCGCCAAAACACCCCGAGATCATCAATTGCATCCTATATGAAGCTACTGGTAAACACTAAGTAATAACGCTAAAACAAACTAAGTAGAGGTTCAATGTATCCTGTTTAAAAATGATGGTTATGTTAATTCCAAACTCTCTATTGAAAATTTATCTCAAGTTTAATTACTTAAGATAACTGTCAGAATTGTGTGAAAACATTCCATTCATTCGAAACTAAAAATGTCTAATTAATGAAAACCTCTAAAAGTTTTTAATTGACTCAATCATAAGGACAAAATTAGCTCAATCGGAGCTCCACATTATTATCATTCAGCTAGCTTCTTTAAGGACACCATTGATAATAACAATCGTCGAAAAATTAGTCACACTTCTGGATTTTTCATCTTTAATTTTATACTACTTACGAGTAGACTTTCAGCAGATGTAAAACAAACATCTAATTGATTAGTCAATAGGCATCCTACTATAATTTCAAAAGATAGAACTCGATTATTTCGGTTTATATAAATATACCATGTGCTGTTATTCCACTATGTGTCAGAATGATTAGTGGGGAAATGTGTATATTCCGAAAGTGGAACAAAACTAACATATTCTCTAATGATGATGAATTAATATTCTCAGAATATTATTAGTTGAATTTATGAGTCGATCTAAACTAGACCATCGTTGAAAACCTGGAAGCATTGCATGGCCGATTCATCTTTGCATAAGACTCCTCAGCATTGTGCATCCGCTCAGAGTATTTTATTTATGACAAAAGTATAAGATCACTTCCTTATAAATCGTTACAATCAATGAAATGTATTGACTGCATATCTGGTATCATTAGATTTCACCTTCCTTTACATATCTATAATTAGTATTTTCACAAGTTTATTCAGCATCCAAATTGTAGTTTAACCAACACTGATAGTACTATTTACATATCCATAGATCTTGAAATAAAAGTTTATAAGGAAGTTAGTTAAAATATGAAGTACAATCGTTGTTCAGTAACAGTACAACACACCATTATATACAGTACATTATTTGCAAGTGTTTGTATACAACCACTTTTGATATAAGTACTGTTTACTACTATAAGAAACAATTGAGTTCTCCTTTTTAAGACTGATTAACAATGTAATACTTCATTTCTATGTTTGATAACGTAATCTAAAACAGTCTTGTCTGTCCAATTATAAATTCTGTTGTACTTATAGTGGTGAGAATAAGGTATTAGGATGTTATTTAGTAGTTTAAGTGAAAATCTTTTACTAAGAAAGCAATTAAATTTTATCATCTATCACTTTTATACAAATATTTGAATATTTTCGTCATAGACAATTAAAAGTAATTATCGACGCAAAGATGATGGAGGTTTGTTACTCAGGTGGTATTTCGTTCTCTGAGCTGGATGGAATCCAACTGACTTTAGTGAATTCGCGATATTGTGCAACAGTCTTCAATTGCCGGTGGTGGATGACTGTTTCATTTTTAATATTGAAGAACTCCAGTAATTACGATTTCTATGTGGAGTTTTGCTCCACGAGCTGAATAATTTGGTTGTGGAGCTTTCATTGTTCTTTTGAACAACCTCATCAGCACAAGCTTCAAATAGTAGTGAAATTACTTGAATTTCTCCATGTGTGACTCACAGCTTGTCTTATCGACCTCGATCTTGATTGGTTATTGTTGACCTTTAACCTGTTATTGTTTACTTCTTCATTTTGATTGTATCTCCTGTTGATTTGATTAATGGTCCTATATTTGTCCATGATTTTTTAATTGGTCGATAGATTGGATCGATTTTGATGTTTGTTGATTGCTGATTGACCTGAGTGCCAAGCTTCTGAAAATTCTCTAGTGCTTTTAGTATACTCTCTATCCAAGATGTCAACATTTTTCCAGTCGGATTTGCGTCCACATTTGTCAACATTATATGGTATAAACAAAGATAAGTCATGGTGATTGACAGCTAGTTTATGCCCATACATGTGAAGATGAAGGTGGCATCCACTTTGTCCGATATAGCGATTTTTTCCCAATCGGAACAGTTTGTTTTGTAGATGATGTTTGGCCTTTCTCCTTGTGTCGTTTCGTCCTTTGGTTTGCATAAGGTTGATTGAAGTGAGCTTTTAGATTTGTGTGTTACACTTATTCCAAATGCCTTCAATAATCGGGGTGTAATTTCTGATTTCTTTTATATATGGAAGGATGACCCTCTTTTTCTTATTTTTATACTTGATTTCGTTTCTGCTGATGAGCTGGATTGATATTTCTTAATAAATTTGCATGAGTAGTCGTTACTCTGGAGGATAGTTACTAGACACTTTTTTATTCTTTGGTGCTGCATCTGTGCTGTAGTGGGTTCTCGCCCTCTTGAATAAAGTTTGTACGCAGTAGATTTTATGAATAATTGGACTGTTTCTGAATTCGATCTGTATAGGTTGGCTTATTGATTTGAATGCCTATAACATTACCCCAGAATTGTATGAGAGATTTAATCGAATGGTTGAATGAATTCACTAAATATTTCAAAAATCTTGTCATTTCTCTGGACAGATTGTAGAACCCAGGACGGGCGTTTCGTCTTATTTGGGACTCGTCAGCTAGATGTACTTGAATCTTAGAGTTGATATTCACTAAAGGACTCTAGCATTTAAAAATACCACATGTAAATCGTGAATATTAAATTAAGATTCAAAATTATCTTTCAAATATTATATAGAGAGATTTGACTAATTAAAGAATAAAAGATTGTTATGGCCTTGTGATGTCTGACTTTTCGATCACACGACTTATCTACCAATCCGAATACGACTTATACGAATCTTCACACTAGGCCAACCAATGACGTTCAACCGGTGCGGGCAGTTTAGCGTCCTTATTGGTCCTAGGTCCTCCGAGCCCTTCCACTTGAGTCCAGAACACAATACCAGCTTCGAATCAGAGCAGATCGTTTATTTCAGGCATACTTGGTTTATATATCAATCACACAGACCGCAACGTACCATAAAATAGGAAATAATATTTGTACACAAATAAGCCCAAAAAGTGGCTGTGAATGTGGGAGGCAGTAGTTAATAAACTGAACATAACTTAAGAACCGTAAATCGTACAATAATAAATTATAGGCCAAAATAAAGCTTGTCATAAGAGGGATATAAATATACATAATGTAATTGTTGAATAGTTATACAGTAAAAATATTTATAGAATATTAGTCCATGAATAGTCCTCGGAAGTTACCTGTAATTTAATCTTCACTCGGATATAACAAAGATAAAAGAAATTTCACTAAATATAAGAACATTGACAAAAAATAACAAGTGAGAACAGAAGAAAAAAAGAGTCGATCAAGTTTCTTTCATTTTTGTTATTCTCGGTTATTTCACTTGTTATTTTTTCCTTCTATTCTGAATTCGTTTTAGAAACAAAACAACCTTTACTCATTGTTTCCCTACATGTGTATGTGTATTATGTGTATAGGTATATATGAGTATGTGTGTGTGTGTGCACTTGCAAGAGACACTCACACACACATATACACATATAAGTATCCATGATGTCGTACCTTGAATATTGTCAATAAATAACTACTAACTTATAAATTTTTTTTAGAGAAAAACAACTTGAAACTATTACAATGTTTATTTAACACAGATCAGTCAGTAACAATGTAGAACATCGTACGTACATCAGTTCAAGTTGCCACACCACATTAGCATAGAGATGCAGTTGACGACCCGAATTCCGTGGTGGTAGAGGTAGTAAGAGTATAAGCAGTAATCGGAAAGATTAGGGTTTGAAGATGTTATTCAAGGAGTATAATCCAGTGAAACAAACTTGGAAAGAGGAAAAAAAGACAAGGAAAATTCAGGAAATTAGAACTTGGGAGAACACAGAGAGTGGATGCACCTGCGCCATTGCAAACGATTTTGAGCCATATCATTCAGGGTCACTAACCAACGGTTACCATCATCTCACGGTCCCCAACCAGGTAATCTACACTTACCAACATGGCTCAGTCTACTTGTCAGTGACTTCATGGACTTGTGCCATGTTTTAGTCTGGCCGCCCCTAGCTTTCTTCCAATCTACTCCTATACCACTGAACATAGCACGTCGAGGTAGTCGGTCGTTGGGCATACGTAACACGTGTCCCAGCCATCTCAACTGATGAAGTTTCACTACTTCATCAATTGATTTGCCATCCTTACCTAGTACCCGTTTCCTCACAACTGTGTTACTTACTCGATGGTCCCATGATATACGAGCAATGTTTCGAAGACACCTATGATCGAATACTAGTAACCTACGAATATCCTCTACTCTTACCGGCCATGTTTCACTGCCATAAAGTAGGATGGAACGAACTGCTGTGCAGTGAACCCGTCTTTTGGTTGATAGACGGATATCTCGCCTATGCCATAAATGACGCAATTTGGCAAAAACTGGTCGAGCCTTCTGTATACGTGCTGAGATTTCGGCACACACCAGACTACGAGGGCTGATGGGACTTCCAAGATAAGTGAAGCGATCGACACGCTCAGCTACTTCATTCACTATCATTAGTTCGGGTGTCGATGCAACTCAATCCTGAAGCAATATTTTGCATTTCAAGGGGGAGAATCGCATCCCAAATATGCTTGCATGTCATTATATGTATATGATAATTGAATTCATAAGTCAATTGAAGCTAGACTACCATGAAAAACGTGAAAGCCTTGGATGGCCGTTTCGTCCTAGTATAAGATTCCTCAATAGTGCATATTACACAAGTTGAAATGATTTTTTGTTAAGTATCTCCATTATCTACTTTTATATCTCATAATCATAAAATAAATGTAATAGAATACTTGAGAAATATAAAACTCACACTCTTACATATACATTTAATTAATGTAAAATGTAATAAATTTTGGGTGGTTTGAAAAAGTAGATTTGTTAATGCTTTGTATGTGGAGAGAAACGCTAATAAATAAGGACCCGGTTTATGTTATAAGAAGGGAATTAATCGAATCACTGATCAGTTGCAGTCTTAAACCTCAATGGGAAGATACAAGCAAAACATTACCAAGTGAATGTAAATTAATTCACTCCATTGCACAAGCAAGTGGCTATCAGCACTCAGTAGCTGAGTGGATAACGTGATGGCGCTTGAAGCGAATGGTACTGGGTTCGAGTCCCAGAGCGAACATCAACTCATGCAGGTACATCCAGCTGATGAGTCCCAAATAGGACGTAAAGCGCGTCCTAGATTCCACTGCTAGCCACTATCCATGTTTGCTTAATTGAATCACTGTTTAAATTACACTTTTCAAGAGTATACTCACATACATACACACACACACTGTACTACTTGACTAACTTTCACGCCTAACCAGACTTCTTTTTTGGATAAATTATTGGTGGAAACAAAATGAAGTCATTTAGTATCATTCATTTTCTTGTATAAAATCTTAATCATTATTTTGTTTTTGGATAACAGTCAATTCTCCTGTTTATATACTGAAGAAAATATCTACTTAGATAAATTTAAACTACTTTTTCTTCATGAAACAAATTACAATTAAATGAAAGAAAGTCTGTTATATCTAGAGCGTAGATTCCTAATATACCACGTATAACTTGAGCATTCGAACTCTAGAACCCTCCCGCAAATGAGAAGACAGAAGAAAAGTGAATAAGATACTATTCCAAACACTGTCAATTATGGTACAAAACTCTCAGATATTTATAGTTTTTAGTAACAATGAAATCATCATTATAATCCTGCAATCCGCATACAGGGGGTTATTAGCATTTGTCCAATAGGGAAGCTAGACGTAGGGACTCTGGAATATTCTTCCAAAAGATGGTTGGATGGAATATCTTCGGTTCTTTCTGAGCTTCTTAGGACTTCCTCGAGTTCACCCGTGGGTCGTCCTTACAGTGTCATTTTCTCTTGGAGTTTTTTCTCTCCACCTACCTCTCTCCAATCGAATGAAATGCAACTAATTTTTTGAAAAACTAACAACTGAAATTATGCTTCTTGAAAAAAATACGGGTGGAAGTCTGTTCTTTTCTGCCCACAATTTTATTTAATACTGATCGTTAAATTATTGTAGAAATATATTTGCTTTTAAATAGAATTGTTAATAATGGAATCCAGAATGCACGTTTTATCCTATATGGAACCTATTAGCTGGATATATCTGTATCCCAGTGTTGATATCCATATTAAAGACTTGAATCCTGCACCTCTCAATTCAAGTGTCAATGAATTATGCACTACATCACTAGGTTTGGATAGCAGCAAATTTATTCAACAGGTACGAAACGAACAAAGACTGATCAAAATTCAGTCCTAAATATTACCAATGGAATAACCAAAATCGTCTATTTGTCAAAATGACAGTTTTCTTAAAAGCATCTAGAAGTAGACTGGGATATTCATTGTCTTGAATATTCATTTGTTAACCAAAAAATAAACCCATAATCACCTTATCTCCGTTAAATGTTTCAGCGCTGAACAGTTTTATTTACTGAATATCTATTCATAGGGTCAGTTGATTATCGATGTTGCCATCCAAAATTTATTCCTTTAGGATTCAGACGTTTCTCCTTGTTATCAATCTCGTGAAGGTAACCACCCTGAAAAGTTGACTAATTTCATAAAATCTATTTGACTTCTCATAAGCAATTCAATACATTAGATAGTTCAAGAATACTATATTTAATTTTTTAAAGTATAGCAGTCTATATTACTTATAAATTGTCTACATCAATTGAGTAAACTTGAATGCTTTTTACAAATATGGTAGTTAAAATAAAATTGACAGAAAACCCTGTACCTACGTTTTGTGCTAGTTAAAGAAGAGTATCTGCCATCTCAGAGGAAATGATTTATTTATTTATTTATTTGAACACAAATATTGGTACAAAGGGGAACCGAATGCATACGCACCACACAAGTCACTTGATTTGTGTGTGGGTCACAATACTGCCCGGGTGCCCAAAGCAAAGCAGGTGGTTTTCTTAGAGGGGCCACTCCTCGAACCTTTGGCCTACAGGTGTAATCCACAAGGTAGTGGAGCTGGTGACCAATAATTGGTTCGTAAGTCATTTGTTCCCTGGAAATCCTGGAGCCCATGTGCTCCATTGATTTGGGATGAGGATTTTCCAACTCCCCTAGGCAGATCCTCCGTGTCCACCAACCTGGTTTAAGCGCCAAACATTCGCTTGCCGTCCTTTCAATTTCGTAAATAACATTGCTGCGAGAAGGTAGTGAGTAGGACTTCCCTGGTAGTGGCTGCATACGCATGACTACGTGAGAGCATTTGGAGGTTTTAAACCTGTTCCGTTCAGACGTTACCATTGAGAAATCTAGACCATGAATAACCTTCTGCAGGACACTGATTGATCCCGGAGTATACAGTAAAGTCGTGTTTGCCTAGACTTTAATGTAGACTGAATTTTATCTTTTGAACTCTAAAGTATTCAGTCATTTAAATGATTCAATGCTGTATGTATAAATGCTTAAATAGTTCAGGATTTCGATAACCATCTTTAAATTTTCTTTTGATCAACTAGAATTATTTCTAAATTACTAATTTTCTAATTAACGATTACTCTGTATTACTGTTTTATTTTTCAGAGTCATTATCAACTATCAACTAATGAATACGTTTACATTACAAAAATTATTTTTTGTTATTTTAACAACTTTCTATTTATCACTACCATGGATCATATCCATAGTGAATACGTTGCCAACAACAAATAACAATGATCCAAATATTTTGTATCGTTTAACACCATCATCATCATCAGCAGCAGCAGCAGGAGCAGCCGCATCATTATCACATCAAAATGGAGGTGGAGAAAGAATTTATCTACCGGAAGAACTTCTTGCACAACTATCAAATGAACCATATATCAATTCATTGTATTTACCAAAACGTGCTGCTTACATGGATTTACCATGGGGTAAACGTGCTTTAGCTAAACGTGCAGCTTATATTGATTTACCATGGGGTTAATTGTGAAATTGATTTAACATTTATATTCAATTACATACATATATACTTTAATAATGCATACTAAAATATTCATTGAGAACAATCTATCCATCAGTCATTATAACTAATCATTGATAGACTAAAGGTGAAATGTGAGATTATTGGAAAATTAAAACTGTCGTTTTAAAAATCGATATTTCATAATTTGTTTGTTCTATGAAAACTTTATACTTTCAACAACAACAAAAAAAGAATCTACTGAAACAATCTTTCCTAGTGTTCATTTTAAACAATGAATTAGTTCTTCAATCAAATAATTATTATGTCCTTTATCTGCCTTTTTGTTCAAGAGTTCTGACATGGAATTAATATTTTTTGTTAATCAGAAAGGGGATTTTGTGGAGATTGTAGTCATTTAATAGTTGAATTCATGAGTTGAATAAAGCTAGATTACTATGGAAAACGTGGAAGCACTAAACGGCCATGCTTACTAGTGAATGACTTCAAGAGGTGGTTCCTGAAGTTCTAGTGAGAAGCCGTGACCAGTGGAGTTTAACGAGGTCTGTTATGAGGCAGTTATTCACTGAAGACAATGGTGGATGATGATGCGATTTCGTGGATTGGTTGAAGTTAGACATTAACACCAATGGGTGCCGGCCAGCTCAGTGGTCAAGAGGTTAGGCGTTCTTCAGTTTTCACTTATAATCGATCTGGAATAACTTCGTATATATTCTTAGGTTAATCTTTGATGTAGAAATACATGAAATTTCACTCTCGAAATTCAAAGACCATTTACAAAGTATACTAGAATCGATTTACTGTAAACATATTAAAGTCAACAGATCACAAATTTAGCAATCAGGTCACCTCATGGAGCGCCATTTAAACATAAATCCTAATGTATATATAAATCACTGACTGACTGTATTTACAACCAATAAAAGAATATATAAAAATGGATGACAAATACGTACATTGTCATCCGCATATAAGCCTATACATAGGTGTCTAGACGTCTACATTATAATAAAGTGTTTAGTGGGAATACACTGATATTTATTTATTTGTAACAGAATGGTTTGTATGTGTACATAGTTCAAAGGGCTTCCTACATAGTCACGGTAGAAATAGCTTAGTAATAACATCCAAGGTGTGAAGTCTGGTGACCTAGAATTAAATTTCACGATGATCATCAGCTTCCTTAAGATTTTAGATAAACCTCATTGAAGTAGATTAAGTAGCATAAAGCCTGGGTCCACAGTTTTCTAATGACTAATTTAAACTATCGTACATGATTATGTTGATCCTAGATCAGATACTGATATAATTTGGGTCCTTTGGTAATGAAATACTCAAAACCCAAATAAAATGAATTTATCGTAATAGTTATTTCATACTGAGGTTTGGTATAGTTTGAGTAATACATAAATTATATATATACTTCCGATCACATCGCGTCAATATTTTATGATGCAACACCACAACCGACAAAACTGATCATGATCAAATAACCGATATTGCCAATAGCTTCCATAGTGTAGTTATGTTGACTTCAGTCAACAATTGTTTGATTCTTTCCCAATCATTTCTTACGACTAGAAAGGACAGCATATTTCCTGATTAGTCGTTTTACTTGCCGAAATAGCGATCAACATTACTGAAATATACCCAAATTACCCTCATTTATTAGTAGTAACGTTGAGAAAATTTTTAAAACAGTGCTTATGTAATAATATACCATTAGGAAATTCTTCTAGTAGGTTGTATTTAATTTATATATGGTCGTTTTCTCGCACAGAAATCTTTAAATTTTCACAAACGAATCTGTAGATTCTATCTTTGTACTCACCAAAAGGAAGATACTTTTAGTTGTTATGGTGTTTTGACCTTATTTTCAGTTCTTTCCCAAAGTAGTCGATGTGCTTCAGAATATCTTCAGTCTATAACAAGTGCTAAATTCTCTGTTGAATCATTTCTGGATGAAAATCACCAATCAGTTGAGGAAAGGCATACATAGTAACGGTTTGTTATAGGAGATAGGATATAACAGATTATGCATTATCTTCTGTAGCTAATAAGTATTTGTCACGACTCGTTCTTCGATTAAATTAACTCAAACAGTAGAACATTTTGCTGGTTTTTGGAACTTTTCAATGCTGAAAACCATCTCCAACTTGAAAAAAAAACTAATATATCTAGGGGTCCTATTGCCGTTCAAACAATAACGATTGAGTCCGATAATCTATCTCCTTAGCCAAGAAAAAAACTTTTAAGGTTTTTTTCAAAAATGTGAAACTAGATCAAGCATTTGAAACCACTTAAGGAGTAAATTCATTAATAGAATGAAAACAGTCTTTCAATTTGAATGACATTCAACCGAGTGAATACTGAAATACTATCGAGCTGGACAATCAAATCTTTCAAATCTTTCATACTTTCTATGTTACTTTTCATAATACTACAGTTTTAATCCTTTAGCACTACTAATAGAAACTTTCAGTGATCATCGTTCTAAAATATAGTCCCATTATGTTGATAATTACTTACGTTGACGCTATTTAACTAAAATGGAATAAGGTTGAAGAAATAAATTCATAGGCAACTGTCTAATTATGGTTCATTTTGATGGTGGGAACTTGCAGTTTCACCATATTGTAAACCATCATAATTGCCGTATCTCGTTTATTGTCTCTTTTTTGCTCGATTATTGCGCTATTTACTCAGTGCCTTTCTCGTTGACGTTAGTTATCGACCAAGCTAGTTGTTTTGCAGATCTCAGCAAGAGTTTATCAATATCCATAAACCAACATATATTCTTGTATTAGTATTTCCCCTTCAATTCATAATATATTATATATAAATTAATAAGGATATATATTATTTTGATAATTTCTTGAAGTAATCGATCCGGGTTCTCAATCTGTCTTTGTGTTGGGGTTAAAAGTTCGTAGGCGCAATGAACTACAAATAAACATTATCCAGTTTCCTTTTTGGATTTACACCTGCAAACACACCATATAAATAGAGTTTAATTTATAAATTCTCAGTTAAATGGAATCAGTATTATGAATTATAATACGTCAATTTTATAATTGCGATGATATTTTGGAAAAAGATTGTTTCTGGAATTCGTCGGTTCTTATTTTTCTTTGCTTGTCATCTGACATAGAGTTGATAAGATCCTGTATGAAGAGTGGCATTGTATGAAGAGTATGTTGAAAGCATCAATTTCTCTTCAAAATTTAGAGTTCGAGATGTGATCAATAGTTTTCTGCCTTTTTAAACTTCGGTTTTATTAAAAACCTAACTCAGTTTTCTGAAGCCACCTTCAAATAACAAAAATCCGTGTAAAACTTTGTCCACGTTAATCATTTTTAGGGTTCTATTTTCCTTTGTCTTGTACCTGCAATTAGTAGTTTATTGATTATGGTTTTCTACTGTTGTTCAATCTTGTTACCTTTTAATATCAGATATTTTTAAGCGCTACCACTTTATTACACATTCTATAATGGAAGTATTAGAATTATTGTATTAATTAGAAATTCCCGAAACAATGCACTTGAAGCCAAATAGAACTAGGTGAGCATAAACGAGTATATTCTACTTAGAATTCGAATTCAGCCAGGAAACTAGTACAAAACAATCATTAGTTCATATAATCATCACATATTCTCTCTCACGTTATCCATTTGAGAGAACCTTTACCAGTAATGCTGTAGGCTCTCAGTGTTTCACGACGAATTATCAGAAAACACAAAGGAAAACCTTGGGTCCGTTATTTTATTTAGATACAAAATCAATCGTATATATTCGACCAACACTTCAGTATGATGTATAAGGGACACAAGAAGCTCGTTTACTACGATCACTATAGAATATTTTTTGACTAGCAATTTCTTTTAGTCCTGGTTTTACTGCATGCAAGCCGATGTTTAGAACAAACTGTTCTTAAAACAACTCATAATCATCCGTGTGATATAGTATTCGTTAAACAATCCTTGGTTATGAAGGCTTGGCCTTGATAAGTCGCAAGCACCAATACTTATGACTATGGCTGATTCCGACCCAAGAGAAGACTAAAAACCCTATGATAGTCGTAAATATCATTGTTTAGGATTCCTGAAGGTTATGCCATTTTATATATAACTGTGTAAATTGTCGTTGCATAAAAAGTCCCTTATGTGTAGGGTCAGCTGTATGGAAGTAAATGTTACTTCGAAGAACTAAAATGGGATTAATATAGCCTCAAAATTTCATACATTGAAACAAAAACACATCAATTTTGTCTAAGTACAACAGTTTTCACTATCAGCCTACCACGGCCGTATGTAATGTTATGCAGTCCTTCAATCTGAAAAAAACCAGAATTATCTCGAAGGTAAAAAACGAAACTGACGAATTTACTTAAAAATTATTTATTGGACTACATTTACCCACATGACGGTCAAAGATTGTTCGATGCAGTACGTGGCCTTAATATACAACGCATTATAAAGTCCACAAGTATCTGCAGTGTGACAATCAGTCAAATGAGGCTAACTCATTTAGCTTCTCAAGTAATACCAGTTTTATCTTGAAATCCAACTTTAGAATGCTTCGGTATAGTGAAAAATTATGATTCTCAGGTTACATATTTATGATAACCAGTAGATTATAACCAGATCGTGTTATACAGATAATATACTTTTTTCTACAACAATAATTTCAAAATTTTTAGACACAACTTTGTACTAACAGCCTTTAGTATCTCGTGCAGGTTTTAATCTTGTTTGTAGCGTACTCCTTCATAGCTACTTCAAAAGCTTACTTCCATAAGAGACTTAAGAATACAAATTTATGGTTAGTTACTGACTAGTTAAATGACACTAAGGTTGCTAGCCGTTTTGACCGCCGGCTAGATGCTTAGTTTACTTTATGCTCATCTTAACCTTCATAGGACCAGCCTTTTCGTTCCTTTCATCTTCTATCCTGTACTTATTTCTTATTGCTACTGTAATTTTCTAAGTGTAGTCTACAGTTGAGTTTGGCATGAATATTGACACATTACATCGTATAAAGCCATGTTCAAAGTTACCATTTGATTCTATATGTTCACAGCAAGTCAATATCCCTCAGGCTTTTGCCTGAATCAAACTGAGAAAAGTAATTCCCATCCGTAATGCCCGTATCTGCATAACTTAACAAAGAAATTTGCATAGATTATCACCAAGAGCTTGAGGCGCCGTCAACGATTTCAAGGTCTTATCTCGGAAGTTCGAAAGCGTACTAAAACGATACTCGTTTACGAAATTTCAAAATCAGTTGGCATAAGCTTTATATCTGTTTAACAAC